GAAAAAAGTTAAGGCGTTATATACACACCACCACCTGATCAGCTGGTATATGTTGATGATATTACCCATAGCGGCCGAGATGATATGATGGGATGCCTTCAGAGGCTTGATGATGTTATGTGCACCTATACCTATGCATGACACGACATTTATATGCACGTGCATGACATTATAAATGTTTCAGAAATTACAAAGTTATTTAGACTTACAGGCAGAATTCTTTATTCCATGTTTCATCTATGTCTCTCATGTACTTATTCGTACTGACGCCCTATTTCCTAGGGCCTGCGTTTCATGCCCACAGGTGCAGGTAGACAAGTGGACGGTCCCCCTTCTTAGGATCCTTGATCAGCGAGAGTTGGTGTACTCCATTTGATCCGGAGCTGCTTTGAGTTTTGGTATGATGTGTTTGTATACGTATATGGGTATGACGGGGCCCAGTCCCATCCTTGTATAGTTGTATATTCTATTAAAGGTCTGTAGACAGTCATGTATAATTGGGTAGTATGTGGCCTTATCGGCTTCCAAGTTTTGGATATGTAGTTGTCTATAGCAGCCTTGTCGGCTCGCCCTACGTATTTCGCACGCATATGTATATATGTCTTTTGGACAGGTTTTCCTCACGCATTTTATTCTCGTAATTCAGCAGATGTTATTCATGTTCATATATTAGTCGCATGCTTAAGGGTGTTCGACAGGTAGGACTCGAGTAACCGTCGCTGTCCATCGGGTTGGGTCGTGACAGTTGTATTTCTTCTTATCATGAACATGTTCTTTCTTTCCGTTTCTTCTTTTAGATCTCTCATTCTTCCACTCCGCTTTTCACATATGGCATTTCTTGATCATGCGGTTCTTTTTACCACATTTGAAGCATCCATAAGTCATCTGCAAATGATCTCTTCTCGTTTCCTTCCACAAAGAATAGTAGTGATCATTGGATAGTGGTGGCCCTGTGCTGGATTGCTCTTTATAGTTTTCAGTTAGTGCACTCATCTTGATATTTTCCTAAGGTGTTAGCCTCTTTAAGGATAACCGGCTCTAATACCAATTGATGTTTTATACTTCAATACCACACAGGGAGGGTGATTTGTGTAGTACCCAATTTTTGTGTGCACTGAATTATCGAAGGACCTGATTCTTCTATGGGTTTCTAACACTACACTTGCTGAATAAATAATACAGAAAGTAAAGAACACAAGAATTTTTACGTGGAAAAGACCCGGCTTAAAAGGTAAAAAAATCACGACCTACTACCCAGTAGGATTTTTTCCAAATAATTCACTACAACTCTGAGCAAACAACAAAGTTTACAAACTCTTACAAACCTAAGGATTAACTCTAACTCCTGTAGCAACTAGCCACATGCTATTGTGACTGCTTCAAGTTAACTCTAACTTGAACAATACAACTCGAGTTTACAACCTCTTGAAAACCTAAGGATTAACTCTAACCCTTATGGCAACACGCCACAGGCTGTCGCAACTACTTCAAGTTAACTCTAACTTGAATAATACAACTCAGGTACCTAGTACAATTTGCTTCTAAGAAAGTTGAAAGGTATAACTTAAAATGCCTGCTACAATTTGAACTAGAAATAAAGAAAGACACATAAAACTCTTTATGGAATTGGTTCTTCAATCTGGTTCGTGTAGCTTCAGGATCGCACTCTTAAAACTCACATGAATTGCTCACAAAATGCCTTGTTATTTTGCTCTCAATTCCCGATTAACTTCAGTATATGTGCATCACTTGTAAAAGAGAACAAACTAATATATATAGAGTTAGTAGAATAGGAAATAACTAGAGTTCTAATGCTATACTCTTCCTTGGTAGAAGAGTTCAAGTTATCTTCAACTTCTAACTCATTCCTTGTCTTGGATAGAGTTCTCTTTAAGTAAGGAATCCTGCTCCTTATCAATTATGCAACCTTTTCGTTCAGAGAATATCAGATATAACCACTTATACTTATCCCTATCACGTACATGCCTTTTGCTTGATTCTGTCTGTCACCTGTGTACACTGTCCATGGACTTGGTTCATGCATGTGTTCCTTTGTCAATCATCAAAACCAAAACTACTCAGGTCAACAACGTATCTTGTCAATAATTCCCGATCAGATATAGCTTTCTCAGTAAGCTTGTTGGCAAGATTTAGTTCTTCCCCAACACAAAGACACTAGAATGGTATTAAGCATATATTCAGATACCTCAGAGGGACCATTGATACGAGTTTATTTTATTCAAATGAATCCAAGTCATCATTGATTGGTTATGCAGATGTAGGATATTTGTCAAATCCACATAAAGGTCGATCTCAGACATGCTATTTACTTGAATGTGGAGGTACACCCATATCATGGCGTTCAACGAAACAAACTATGGTTGCTACTTCTTCAAATTATGTAGAGATAATAGTCATTCACGAAGCGAGCCGAGAATCCATTTGGTTGAGATAGATAACTCAACACATTCAGGAAACATGTGATCTTTCTTCGAAAGGGAATATTCCAACAATATTGTATGAAGATAATGTTGCATGCATAACTCAACTGAAAGGAGGATACATCAAAGGAGATAGAACAAAACACATTTCACCGAAATTCTTTTTCACTCATGATCTTTAATAGAATGGTGAACCGGATGTTCAACAAGTTCGTTCAAGTGATAATTTGGTGAATCTGTTCACTAAGGCATTACCAACCTCAACAGTTGAGAAGCTGATATACAAGATTGGAATGCATCATCTTCGAGACATTAAGTGATATTTTCATCAAGGGGAGTAAATACGCTCTGCACTTTTTTTTTTTCTAAACCAAGATTTTACCCCACTGGATTTTTCTGGTAAGATTTTTAATGAGGCAGTAAGAAATGCGTATAACAAATAACTACGTGCTCTTTTCCTTTCACTTGAAATTTTTATGGACATCAAAGGGGGAGTGTTGAAAAATGGTAGATATGGATGCCCATGCCCAGTCCCATTACATTTACTGTGTAGTAGCCATTCCTCTCACTGTTTTACAATAGTGATTTTTACTTTTCATGCCTATATAAAAGCTTTGTAACAGATGGGTAAGAGCGCACAATAATTATGCAAACCCATTAATATATACTCAAATACTCATTATAATCCTATTTACAACAATTCCCAACTCCGCTTGAAAAGTCGATAAAATCGCTCTCGGGCCTACATGCCCGGATTCCGAAAATTTTCGAAGATAAACTTTTCCCATGACATCACGGACTCAAATATATAATTTATTCTCAGTTCCATGTCCAAAATTCGTGGTCAAAATCCAAATATACAAGATTCTAGGTTTTTCCACCAAAACCCCAATTTCTATTAATTCCCATGTTCAAATCCATATAAACTCATGTATTTAACTCAAAATTGTGAAGAAAGCACTTATCCCATTATGATTGACGAAGATGGCACTCCAATGTGCTCCAAAATCGGCTCCCATGGGCGAAAATGAAATGAGATAGAGCCAAACCCTCGCTTTAAAGAAGACACTGCCCAGCCCCGACTTCCGCATATGCGGTCCCGCACCTACAGAAATCCCATCGCAGGTGCTGCTCCAGCTCGGCCCAATATTTTTGCACATGTATCTCTGCTTCTTATTTATGTTTTACTGAATTACTTTTATTTTATAAAACATATGTTATTTTCTATTTGTTGTTTGCTCCATTGTTGGGAAAAAATCAATTTCAAGAATGGATAGTGACAAAGAATGAGATTTTTCGACCGTCACGAAAAACTTACGAAGAATCAAATTCTTTGACTGCCTTTGTTCCATCACTATGGAGCTTCTCTTTCTCCTTCCATTTGTTTTTCTTCTTGGTTGATTTTTGTATATGATTTTAGATTCAATCATGGGCAAAGATCTGGTTTCTACTCCAATATCTGCAAGAAGGCCGAAGATCTTTTGTACAGGGACTACCAGCCTGACTACAAATTTATAATTTTTATCTGTGCTCCTACTGAAGTTGTTATTACTTTATCGGGATTGAAGAAAGGTAATCTATTTTCTGGATAATGTTAACACTCAATTGAAAAATAAGAACATCTCAACATATCGTAAAAATTAATACAAACTCAATTATTTGGGCAGGTATTGCATTTGATGAACCTGCTTCGCAATCAATTATTGAAGGTGATTGTTATTAGGGATAGAATAATGTATGAAGAGTATGTGAAAAATTCACAAATATTACGGTATAAATATGTTTAAATTTTGTTTCTATTATTAATTTTAATTAGTATGCCATATGCAACGAGATCGCATGTTGAACTAAGACATCACCTCATAGCGCAAATAAAAGAATCGGTGATTGTAAAGATCGTCTAATATAGATTGCTCACAAATAAGCGATTTAGATTAGTGAAAAGTCGATTTCAAATATGCTTTGGGGATTCACCCCTACTTAAGCAAGTCAAATCGTTTGAAAACTACGATATTTTTTGAACTACATGTATTTGTAAATGAATATTTTATACTAAAAAGTCAATGACATTTCATATGAACAGCCATATATCTTTTTTATTTCACAACCTTTGATTGATACAAAAATATTATTTAAGCATGTTGATATCACAATCTCTAAAATATTTTAAAAAATAAATTACAAGACAGTATAATATTAAGCGATTTAAGAAATAAAATAGGCGATAAACATTACAAACAACATGAACAACCTCATCATTTTTACTCCACAAATTTTAAATTATTTAACAAACTTAAGTTTTCTAAAGAATATTGTTTAAGCGTATAGATATCACAATCTCCGAAATATTTTTCAAGGAGGTCCCCTTTCATATTGAAAACATGATCGATCTTCGCCTAACATCATACGTGTGACCAACCATTCACACCCAATCAATAAAATTCCATCAAATAATCGATTCGGTTCTGTACTGTTCGGAGAGGCATCCTCAAAATATTGTAGTTAACTAATGCTAATTTGTATATTAATAAACTTATGCTGATATATTTTTTCTGGGTAGGAGCTCTTCTAAAACCCAAACCAAAAGACCCCTATAATTTAAGGAAGTTCAAGTGAACCAGTAGAAATTCAGCATTAGATCCGACACTCCTAAGCCACAACTTTATATACGCTCATTAACACGTGTAGAGGCTCGAACCATACAAATTAACCCACTCGCTCGAGCACACCTGGGTCCCACGCGCGCCATCACTCGAAACACAACCATAGACTTCCTCTGCACACACAACACCCAAATTCTCTATCTCCTCTCTATGTGAATCTCTGGCGTACGTCCTCTGCAAATTTTAATTTTCTTTTAGACTCGTTTTTTTGGGGTTGAGATGCATAACCTGATCCAGTGAAGAAAAATCGGCCATGTTTGGGCTAAATTTGAAGCGCTGCGGAGTAGATAACTATTGTCGGTTTTACAGCTATGTTTGATTGGAACGACGAAGAGGTGCGTTTAAGTTTCTTCAGCTTGAATGTAGTGAGTGTAGTACTACTATTATTTTAATATATTCAACTTATTTTATTTATTTGGTACGATGATGACATGAGTTCGAGGTTATATGGAGAAACATGTTGAGTGAGTATTCATGTAGCCGACGCCAATTTGTTTGGTACCGAGTCATAGTTGTTGTTTTCTTTAATGGCATGGGATAAAGGTAAAGCTAAGGAGAAGATGAATGAGAATTGAACCCTGCACCTCAAAACGGTGCAAGGTAAGATCTGCTACCACCAGGCTTGCGCTTGAAGCTATCACCAGTAGGCTCGCATTCGATCTTCATTCAGTTATTATTTTTAATTGAATTATCACAATCATTAATTAAAAAAAAATTTGAATAACAATTTCCTGGGTTTTCTTTCCTACTTTTGTAATTCTGTTAAATTGAGAATGCCGATAAGTAAGCTGTTTTTAGCTGTTCAACATCCATTTCCTTAGGTGAAATCATAGCTTCAAAAGAGCTTGTTTGATGTTGCAGGACTAACCAAGTCAGTGAGATAACTTGGAGGACTAAGTTGGCTTGAGTGGTAAATATAAGGATACATTAGAGCCAGTTTGGCTTGGTTTTTGGATGACGGGAATGTGCATTTTTCATCATTAAGGGATTAATACTAATTTGTCTGTTCAACATTACCCGTAGAATTCTCAATTCTCCCTTGTTCCTTCTACAATCAACCACCTCTTTTTCCATTGGAGCTGAATCTAAGATTGGTCTCCCCTCCATGAGTGCATTATGAGAGGTCGATATTGTCTCAATCAGCACCTTCTTTAGTTTATTCTTATAGATGCTTCCCACCAGACTAATAGGCTTGTAATCTATGATACTTGTCCCCACTCCCCTTTTGGGATAATAGTTATGAAGGATGTGTTGAAACTTCTTTCAAACTTGTCAGTATCTTGAAAACTCTGTTAAAAGAAACCAAAGGTGAATCTGTCGGTCCAGGAGCCTTGTCTCCCCCATAACGCTCCGCCTCCTCCCTCACCTCCTTTTCTCTATAAATCCTCTCCAACCACTCCCTCTTTTCTTCTCCTTTTTGATTGAAAACTGCCCAGCCCTAGCTTCGGTCTCCAAATCGCTTCCTCTCTATATAACCGTTCATAAAACCTCATGTCATCTCCTCCTCACATAGAATATGACTCTATCTAACTAATTTTGTTGTTTCACCAATAAAATTACAACTCATTGATGGTGTGCTTTCCTGTTTCACCATTAGTTGGGTTATAAAATATGACATCATTCTTTGGTAGAAACCCTTTCTTTTCAGTCCAATGTCAGAAAGCAAGCACTCACTTTGCTTAATGCATGCGGGGAATTATGCTAGTTCAGCTCCACTAATGCTGACTTGCTTTTCTGTTTTGCTAGTATGCCTTCTCCAGATTTGAAGATTTGATGGTATACTAAAGCTGGTCTATATGTGAATTATAATATAATTCTATTATCGTCACTTTTGCCTCGCCTTGATGATTAAGTTAGTATTTGCTTCACATCACTGATTGAGAAGACAAGTCGCAGACGAGATCACAAAATTTCCGTAGTGTTGACTACTGAAGTGTTTTTCCTCTCCTTTTATGCATCACTCGCCTACATATATAAACGCGTGCTTACTAATATGCATTTCTCTATGACTTTAAGCGCTGTACATTTTACTTTCAAGTTATTATACTTGCATTTACTTCTGACACATTTCTTACTTGAATCAGCTAACGGATATAATATGGAGTGATACTGGTCAGAGCGATGACCACACAGTGCCATATCCTGACGGAAGTGAAAAGGAAGCTCCAGCTTATAAAGATAACATTAAGAAGGAATGGGATGTGGAAGCTTCTAGTTTCAAGCCTACTGATCAGAAGAAACCTACAACTAAAACTGATCTGAGTAATATTAAACTAGACGGCAGTTCCAAACATGACACTGGCGGAGCTGCTATCACAGCTGGATACAGGGTGGAATCAAGCGCTGATTTTTCATTGACCAATGCTACAAAAAGTAATCAAGATTCCTTGGGTGGTAAAGCATCTAATTATCTGACAGAAGTTTCAAAACAAGAATGTTTTAGAGGTGCTAATGCTAATGTTTCTAGTCTTTTGCAGGAAATAAATAACCTTCAGTCATAGTTAAAAATTGGATTTCTTGCTAATAAAAAAAGAAACAAGTTAAATGTTGGATTTAACTGATCATCCTTCTGACCAGATGAGAGAAATCGGCTTGATGATGATTTTCGAGTTTTTCACCATCAGAGTGAGGGCCTGGAGCAAGATGATTTTATTGATTATGGCTGGGCTAACATTGGAAGTTTTGATGACCTTGATAAGATATTTAGGTAATGCTGACATTACCTTTCTTTCTCTGTTCTTTCTGACTCGTGTATTGCTGTGAAATATATAGGCTTGTATATGTCACTTTTTGTACTGCAGTTGTTTCGGCATCCCGTCATTTCCTTTGATCATTCACAATTTTAAAGCAGAGTCTGGGGACGGAACTTTGTGTTTTTGAGGCAACATGGAAAATTTTGCTTATGAACTGCAAAGTTATTTGATGAAAATAATATTTTATTGATATGATACGATTTTCAAGCTACATCTATACAAAAATAGAGAAACTTATACAATGTACAAGCTGTAGAAATTATAAGTTAATCCAAACTGTCTGTCCTTCTAAATTGGCATTTAATTACTCTTGGAAAATCACTAACATGCAATCGGGCTCTCCGTAGAAACAGCTAACCTGGGAAATCACTAACATACTACTGGCACTGTGAAAACAGCAGACCTGATGCTGATCCTATGGGGCATTGAGACTGAGAAATGTAATACTGTACTTGCGCTTGATGGGTTGTGGGTAACTAAAGGAGATAATGATTTGAAGCATATAGAAGCAAAAGTGGGAATGAACGATGGCGGTTCTCCAGCATGTTGGAAATTCACGTAAATGCACTTGGAAAGATGAGGGAAGGAAAGGGTCTTGTAGTTCTCCTAGAATCCCCTTGGAGACCCTCAAGGTTAGGTTGTAGAAAGCATCATAGGTAACAAATGCTTCAAGAAAATTCTATAGCAATCAAATCATGGTCATCAACAAGATGTTGAATTAGAACATTGGTATCTAGAAATGTGCATGCATTCCTAGAATTGTAATTCAATAATTAGAAAAAGTAACAAAAATCAGTCAAGTATGGTGGTAAGTATTTCTGCTGCTTCTAGCTTTATGATGACAATTACTTGTGCCGAAACCTGCCAAAGGTTTCTACAATTGGTTAGTGTTGTGCAAGAGCGGATAAATGCAAAAGAGGGATAACAGGGCCACACTTAAATTTATGTGACAATCAAAAGAAAGTAAAGATGGAGGGCTACATAGGCATTCTATTTGCAATGGGAAGTTAAAATTTGACACTGAAATTTCTGCAACTCAAGATGAACTGATGCATGGCAAAACAAATGAGTAGAATAAATTGGCTTCTGGTGAAGTTTAGTCGGTGTTTGGACAATATTTCGTTGAAGTTGAAAAAAAGATTATTTGAATTTGAAGTTGAAAAAGAGTATTATTTGTTCATTGTTTAAGATCATGAATCTTTTCATTTATCTGTATCCTTGTTTTCTTGATTGGTGTTCTTTTCTTGGTTTTCTCCTTTTAATTGGGTTTTAGTGGCTTTCTATTCTACAAGCGTTCGGTGCTGCTCATGCTACTAAGCACATGATCATAGGCCTTTTCGAGGTCTAATTTGCATAGAACGCCTGAATCTCCTTCCTTTCTTCTACAGATGCCTCATTTGCTACTAGAGTCATGCTTAGTTCTGTCTATTCTCAACAAATCATTCAAGGAATATGACACTATTTCATCTAATATTTTTTAGTCTATTTGAGAGTGCTTAAATTGTAAATGCACTCTACTAGGCTAATAGCTTCCTTAATATTTGATGCTCCCTCTCTCTTAGAAATGAGAGCAGTAAAGTTTGAGCTAATGCTTCTCTTAAACTACTGTGACTCCTAAATGATTCCACTGTCTCCATAATNGACTAAGGCCTTATTTGTTTTTATTAAGATTAAGACGTCTGAATCTGAATACACATCTGAACATTAAGATGTGCAATATGATTTAGACGTCTGAATTTGAATACGCATCTCAATATTAAGATGTTATATTAAGAACTGAATATTTAATAATTAAGATTGTTTGTTTTCTCAGCATCGGAATATATAAAATTTATTTTTATTAAAAAATTAATAATATAAATTCAAAATAAAATACTAAGTAATCTAATATTATATGAATAAAAGATTTTTTTAAAAATATATAGTGATTGGTAGTGGTGAGGCCTAACAAAGATAGTTGTGGCCTTGTGGGTGCCAACTGGTAATGATTGGTGGTAGTGTTGGCTGATGGTGGTGATTGTGGGCAGTAGTTAGTGGTGATGGTGGATGGTAGTAGTTGTTAACAATTGTTGTTGATGGAGGTGGTGACTAGTAACGGTGAATAATGATATATAATGGAGGCTGATAGTGATAATGGTTAGTAGTAATGGGTGGTTGATGTGGTAATGGTGGTTGGTGATGATGGTAGTAAATAGTGATTAATGGTGCTGACACCTGACATTGGTGATTTACAACGGTGGTGGCTGTGACTGATGATGGTTGTTGTGAGTGGTGGTGGTGGGTGGTGTAGTTTATAATAGTGGGTGGTGCTGGCGGTAGGTGATAATAGTGGTAGCGGCAACAATGGTGGTTAGCTATGAAAGTGTATGGAGTAATGGTGAAATGTCATCTTTGCATAAATTTTTGAATATACAACATCTTAATGATATTAAGACTTTGTTATAAATCTTAATCATTATGATCTATTCAGACCCATAAGTGATTGTAAAATGAAAAAAATAACTTAATGGTTAAGATCTAAATAATTAAGATTCAAATCTAAAATACAAACATACTTAATGACTGAGATCTGAAAATTTAGACCTCTATTAAGTGCAAACAAATGAGGCCTAAACCTTGTCTCACCCAGGATAGGTCTCCATTCCTCCTTTTCTTTGTACAATTGGGAAAAAACCTATTATTGTCTCCTTTTCCCCTTCCGATCCCTCCTATACGAATTCACCCACTTCTATGGTCTCCACTAAATTATTGCATGAACTGTACTTTGTGTGTGCTAGATAGGAATATATCTTAAAGTATTGTGTGTTATGCAGTTTTCAGTAACAAAAGCATGCTAGATAGGAATTTATCTTAAAATTTTGTCTGTTATGCGACATAGTTATATATATCTTCGATGGAGTTTAGATCATCCGTGGTTATATTCGTCCGACTCAATATCCTCACAACTGATATTTTGCAGCAACAGCGACCCAATATTTGGAGATACAAGCCTTCCTAACACTCACGATCTATGGTCATCTAGTAAAGATGTGACAAGCAGATCAGATAAGTCTGTTCCCCTATCTATTGACTCTCTGAGTTTGGCGCTAGGATCTCCGCGAAGCCCATCAGAAAGATTAGAAGTTAAAGCAGAATACTGGCTAGATCAGGAGAAGTCCTCCACTGGTGATGAAGAGAATGCTAGTGATATCACATCTAATGTGCATCTGTCTACTGATGCTAGGGACCATGGTGGAGGCAAAAGTGTGCTTTTACCGAATGAAAAGGTAATGGTACCGGATCTACAACTATCTCATACCAATTGTATTTTCTTCAGTATGTAAACGATTGTATCTCTTGTTCAATAATTTTTTAAAGCAAAAAGGATACATGTTGTAGCTTGAACAGACAACTTCGCAGATAGGAGGATAGGGTCTACCATTTAAATGCTGGAACTATCACAGTCCCCGCTAGATCTTAGAAGGATTAGTTTTTAATGTTCCCTAGTTCACCAGTGAGAACTAATCCACAATAACTCACTTATTACATAGGGATGATCTTTCATTTTCACCCCTTCCACTTCTTGTTGGGTAAGTAATATAAAGGTAGTATGAAAAGAAGTTTAGATAGAAAACTGGATTCAGGTCTTCAAAGAAGATTTAGGCAAGAGACATGCATGATAATTATTTGTCTCATGGTGCTAGTTATAATTGTGCACTGTGACTGTATTGATTGGTATTTGTTCATAGGAAGTAAAAAGATTTCTACCTAAGCTGGACTGAAGCCTAACATCACATATACAATGACAACAACAACAACAACAACAACAACTAGGCCTCAGTCCCTAACCTCACATATAATCGATGATATATTGTTTCTTCAGATATTCTAGCAGAGAAGAGTCTGTAGGAGAGATGTCATAATCACTTGTAGTATTAAGTCATCCCCTCTTGCTGCCAATGTTTTTCCCTCATACCATTGGTATATATGTGCTTATCTGTATGCATTTCACAATTGCTAAGCAGGTTAAGGAAGATATGAGGTTAAATTAAGACAAACGTTCTTCTTTGAAATGTGTTATCTTTTCTTTCACAAATTTTTTTCTGCAGAGATTGGTAGAGCCAGAAATGGGTTTCAAAATTTACTGAGAAAAAAAGAGGGTCTATGACAAACTATCTTGCTTAACTGATTTCCACGTTATTCAATTTTCTTCAGACATCAAAATAGAAGTTTCTCATTCATCAAGTTCTTTCATATCCAGTTAAGAGAAAAAGAGAATCTCTAATTTTCGATCTAATTGGCAAAGCCTACTTCATATAGCTGGTGAAATAATCTTTATAGTTTCTTCAGATCATTAAATAACTTTTAGTAAGAGAAGTTGTGAAGCAAAGATTAAGAGTTTCGTGGATAAAATAGCTCCAAGATGCAAACCTTATATTTCTGCAAAAGAACAATAAGGCATCTTGCGGAGATGGTTGTTTCTGGGGTGCTCTATGTAACATTTTGTACCATCTTGGTACTTATTAATGAAGCTTTTACCTTATAAAAAAAATAAGACATCTTGCGGAAGAAAAGTTCGTTATTGACTTTGTGATGATTATGACCACATATATTTAAAGACAATGCTGCACATAGCCCTCTCTCTCCCCTGCCATTTTTCTTTTTTCTTCCTTTGTTTACGGTAAAATTTGTTGAACATTTGATTCCTCCAATCCACAATGTGGTGTATTATTTTCTGATCTTTTGTTAATTAACGCATAACTTGTGTCCAACTTTGTAAAATTATGATATAAATGGGAAAGAGAATACGTGTAGTGGACCCAGATTGTTACGGGGATGTGGTTGTACTTAAAATCATGGCTTTCAGGAATAATGAGAGCTTTCTATTCAGTTGTTCTGTACTTTCTCCTTTTTCCTGTTTCCTTTTTCCTTTTTTTTTAGTTTATGTAGGTAGCATTTTCAAATGGCTCTACAAGCTCTTCTTTTTATATGGTAAATAATTTTTTTTCTCATAATATATTTTTTGGACATAGTCAATGAGGATTTATATAGTTGACTCCAACATGTTTGGGACTGAGGCATAGTTGTTGTTATGGGAAAATCTCCCATATACAAGCAATATACCAAAAAGTAGAGAATCTACAACATAATATAATTCTCTATGAAGGACACCCAATATTCTATTCATACTGGAACCTCATTGGTGTAGCCAAAAAAAAAAAAAAAAGCGAGAAATGAGAGGCGATTCCAGTATTCCTAAGTGTACATGACTATTCTCTATCCCATCAAAAGCTCTCGTATTTCTTTCCTTCCACAGGACCCACATAAATACTAGCGGCGCAACATCCCAGGCTCTTCGACCTCTCTTCTTCTTAGTTTCTAGCTGGAAAGTGCTTTTGTCACTGTGCACATGGCTTTACAAGCTTTATCACAGTTTTTCTTCAACTCTCTTTCCTTAGGTGGTCGGCATTGTGAATTTGGGAAGTAAATCAAAATGCTATTATTGGTGCTTCATGTTGCAAATGTTCAAGTGGAAACTCACTTGTGGTGTGAGTTTTTGAGATGGTTCGGGATGCAATGGCGATGTGGAAATAGTGAAGGAAGCACTATCCAGCTTGGAATTTCAAAAGAAGGAAGAGACATCAAGGAGCTTGGAGGTTGCCCCACTAAGCACTCATGTGGTTCCAGCGGAAGGAAAACAAAAGGAGAGCTTTTGATGGCATAGAGTATGACTGTACATTTAAGGAATAGCCTCTCATTCCTAGTTTCTTTTTGGTGAACTCATGCGGTTTCAGTATATATAGAAGGCTGAGTGTCGTTCGTTGAGAATCATAGTATGCTGTAGATCCTTTACCTTTAGGTATACTGCTTGTGCACGGGAGATTTTCCCATTATTAATAACATTATTTACCTTATAAGAAAATCATATCTGCATACTTTTTCTACAAAGGAAAAGTTTGCTTCTAATAAATCTTGGACATAACGTAAATCTAGAGGACAATAACTGGAAACTTATTTTGCTTCGGTGAAATTGTGGAATTATTCTTGGATATCATAGTAATCACTCACTAAGGATCCACCTTGTAAAACTGTGAAGTAATTGGGCATAACTCTACTTACGTCAACATGGATTGTCATCCCTCAAGGAAAGGTGGACAAAGAAAAATATCCCCCCC